TGTAATTCACAGTTCACATCTCTAGTCTATGTCTAAATGCCAATTTTTATTTTAAAAGGGTTACTTATGTGTATACGCCATCCAGATGTTGATAAGCATGAAACAAAGAAATTGTTACTTACGAAATAAATACTTATAAACAAAATTGCACCTAGAGGTGTGAACTGTGACTGTAGTTTATTTTATAACTAAGAGGTGTGACCTGTGAATTACAATACATATAAATAAACTGTAGTTTATTTTATAACTACAGTTAACTAACAGTTTTACAATAAATTACAGTTTATTTATATTTAACTAATAGTTTACGGATCGTATATCAACATATGCCCTAAGGTTAACCATATGAATGAACAAAGAAAATTGGCACTTATGTGTAATTGTATTAGTAATATATTTTCGAATAAAATAGTTATAATGTATTCAATTGCTCTAATATATTACGTAATTTTGTTTGAAAATTCTATGAAACAACTTAATTAATCTTATTAAGCAAAGAAATGAAAAACTACGCGCGGTTAGTTACTATTTCTAATCGGAATATCGCGTGTAGTTTATTTAATGTACTGAACTATATAAAAATTTTCAAAATAATTATAATTCAATTTGGATTTTGTCTTACGAAAGGCTTCATCTTTCTTTTAACATAAATTCCAAAAATGGATTATTGTAACATCAATTAATATTAAATTTTTTCGTGAATAAAATTTGCAATGGAAGCCTTTACTTACCTAATATTCAAACTCTCTCAACTGTTATTACTAATGCAATTTGCACAAAAAATAATATTCCGCGTAAGAATTCCAATTATTGTATAGAAATCAACCATTTATAGAATTTTAATTAATAACCTTTCGCGTAATCTGAAACAAGAACAAGTCTGAACAAAAATTTTACACATTTCTGAGTGGTAGATTAATTTAAACTTTCAACAAGAAGATTTCTAACTCAATTAACGTTAGCATAATTTAAAAATATATATTTTTATCTAGAATAAGATAATATTTAGTGACACATAATTACAAGTTGTTCAGCCAAACTAACCCTTCGGTTAACACAATATTAAACAAAGAAATTGTGCTTTATACGCGAAGGGATTTGACCCGATTGGTGTAATGATACAGTATATATGTAATATAAGATGTTTAATGACGCGTCGTTTTGTAGTCCTCTGTAATATCAAAAATTCTTTGCACTTTACCGCAACAGGTCTTTTAACCGAATGGTTAATCAGAAGAAATAAGTGGGAATAAAGAATATTCGATTTCTAAATGATTCTTGAAACAAGGATTTATATATACCTTTTCAAAATAAATTTAATTTGGAATTCTACACACGAGGGTAAGTTTAATTTACAATATATGTGAAAAGTTATTTTCACATGAAAATTTTCGAAGTAATTCAATTTAAATTTTGTCTTACACAAAAGACTCCACCTTTATATATTAAGTAACATTAAATTTTTCGTGAATAAACTTTTACTTACTTATTTCTCAATTGTTATTACTAATGTAATCTGCACAAAAAATAATTTATACAAAAATTTATATTAGAAATGTACTGTACCTTAATAAAAATATATAAAAAAGATGTCTCAAATTTTTGATTCTATATAGCATAAATGGAGGAGATAGTCAAATTAAGTCTTAAGTCAGAAAATGACTGTTTTTTAATCCGTGAAGTAAATAGACACGTAGCCAAAGCTAAAAATTGCGTTATAATTACTGGAGCAGGCATATCATGTAGTGCGGGAATTCCCGTAAGTAATATCAATTTCTTCTTGAGATTTCAATTTTAAAAATTAATATTTTTCTTATAACCAAAGGATTTTATAAGTTCAGACGGTCTTTACAATATGATAAAAAGTCAATATCCAGGTGTTTTTCGTTCGGGCAAAGATTTATTTGATGTTCAATTGCTTAGAACTCATGATACTATTAAGGGATTTAATCTTTTCATGGGTATATTAAAAGAATTAATTGTAAATGCTAAACCCACAGCCACTCATTCTTTTATAAAAAAATTGGCAGATATGAAAAAATTAAAAAGAGTATATACACAAAATATAGATAATCTTGAAGAATTAGTAGGACTAGATATTGATTGGCAATTTGAAAGAGTTAAAAACTGCAAAGCTCAAGTAGTCCAATTACATGGAACGTTGTCAAAATTACGATGTAATGCTTGCACAAACATTTGTCCATTTACACCGCAATATTGTGATATTTTCAAGAAAGGTAAAGCGCCAAATTGCCCCAAATGTGAAGAGAGAGGTAAATATATAAAATACCGTAAATAAATTCAACCAAACAAAAATTTTTCAATTTAAGTTTCTAATTATTAATAGAAAACACTAGGGCTAAATAGAATTAATTAGTTTGATATTAGAACGAACATTATAGGTTATTTTTAGCATTTTTTTATTGTTTATTAGCATTATAGGATAGGTTTAATCATTTATTTTTTGTATTTTTTATTTTTTGTTTCATTTCTTTCTTTGATTTGTAATATATTGAAGTTTTTTAATAAAATTTTAGTTTATTGGAGTTTTTCTGATTTTGTTCGGTTTTGTTTGTGATAAGTTTATAATTTTAGGTTTAAATTATTGAGATTTTATGGTAAAGACTTTTGCCAGTATTAACTTGATTATAGATATAATTATTTTCTACATATTACTTTTTTTTTATTCGTGATTCGATATTTTTTGATATTTTTATTAATCTTCGATCAACCAATAAAATTTTATAATATCACGAGATGATCTACAAAAATTGGCCAATCACTATGAAAGCACATCACATGATTAAGTATTCGACCTACGTTAGGATTAGTGTTAGGGCTAATTTGTTTAGTACTTAGTAAACAAATTGTCGGTACAGTTTATTTTTAAAAGTTAGGACTAAAAAGAATAATCTTTATCAATAAAAAAAATTAGCTTTTTGTTGCAAAACAATGCCAAATGACAAATTCGATAAACTACATTTTAATTAAGGGAGGTTACTTTGTTTTTACTGTATACAGTATTTGAGAAGTGAAATTTTTATTAACAATATATAGATAAATATTTAAATTTTTTATTAAGAAACCTAATGTATAAGTTCAAAAACTAAATTCAGGTTTTTCATTTCTTCTCC